AAAAAATATGCTAATCAGCGAGAATCAAACATGACAAGTCGAGGCGATGATTCAGCTGACACGAGCGAGACAAACAAATGAGCAAGAACAGAGCAAGACATGTGTGCCACCGAGCACGTCTGATCAGGCCATATTCAAGCCATCCCATTCAAAAATTTATGGCCAGACATGAGCGAGATTCAAGTCAGACAACAGTCCCCCTCTTAAAACCATCAAGAATCTAGCAACGAATGTTTTTCTCACTATGGAACGCTCATGAAACCAAACACAGCTTATGTTTATTCCCAGCCCTAAGACACTCCAAACTTTCTGTGATATTTTAGCAAGGTGGAATCCTTGGAAACTAAGGCTGAGAGTTTGGAAAAGCTTAATCTTAATTTGGCGAGCGAAACTACAAGGACAACAGAAAATTTGTAGAAGCGCATAGTCTGTTAATATAAATACTTGTGACTTTCGCTTGTACCAGCATGTTTTTAGGTTTCAAATTACCGTTCAAATTCATTAGAGTAAAATCTGCGCAAACACTGGAACTGAATTTTGACAAAGCTGGTGCCTGGCATGGCGTGCTCATGTTTACTTTGAGCAAACAACACTTTTGGTCATCATGCTAATCACCCGCTAAAAAATATTCCCCAAACTTTACCGCGCGAGATTTGTTTTGCGTTTGTCTGAGAAAATATATCTTCAACACAATACACAAGACTTGAAATGGTCAATGTTTATGACCAACAAAAAGATCGAAAACAGCAAAACACACCGTCGGGTACTGTAAATCCAACTATAGACTACTTCTTCAAAGAAACTGCAAAAAGCAATGAGTTACGTTGACTTTGAAGCTGAATCTCATCGTCTTTTATGCGCGAAAAACGGCGATCAATAAGCTTATGCTTGACAACAAGCAGAATCGACTATTATTCGTCAACAGGCTCATTCAAGAATGGTAAGTAACTATCCATTGATGTTCCTTTTAACCACTTCAGCCAGTCGTTTTTTAAAGTTCTTTTGACATGGTGGACACACTAGCCTAATTGTTGTGTGCGATCTCGCATGCTAAGTGTGATGTGTCCTCTCGCACGGTAGCTTTTGTTTTCGAAGGTTAACACGTTTCTATGTTCAACTGCTCACGCTACATTGTTGGACAGGTCAAGCTTTTTTGTTTTGAGTGTGTTCTATGAAACAAAAGATTTTGCTAACGAAGTTTGCACCTGGACACACCTTAAGCATGCTAAAACTGATTTCCTTTGTTCTAAAGTGGAAGCGTGTTGTGAGCGTGCTATCACCTTTAGCTTTAAAGTCCTATGGAGGGTCACAAATGTGCTCTATAATTCACAACGTTGCGTACTTGACAGAATGCGAATTTGTGGCCACATTTTGTGCGAACGATCGTTCAGCGCCATATTGATTTCTCAAAAAAATCGATATCTCTGGTTCTACTGGGCCTAACAGGTCCCTTAAAATGGGAAAATTCTCTTCAGCTGAAGCTAGTGTTAACTGGAAATTTGTTACAGATGTGCCGGTTATCCTCGGTTTATTTTTGTGACCAAGGTTTTGTTTACACTCGTGCCGGTAGTAATTTGTTCGTCGCACAACTAATTGTGCGTGAAATA